AGGAAGTGTTCTAACTAGAGTAAACTTACTCAGAGCATACACTGGAGATAGATCATGTTCTCAATATGCGGGGCCAAATTAAAAAAAAAAATACAAGTTTTGTCCTTGTACGTTGATATATATATACTTAAGCCAGATAGTTTCCGGGTGTAGTTTTATTTAATGATGTTTGCTCCTCTTATTTTTGAATTTTTGCCAGATATTCGGAAACCTCTGGTTTTATCCATTTTGTGCCAATAAAAAATTGCCCGCTAACCCCTACTTTGCTTTTCATAATTTTATTACATAAATTTTAAAAAACCATATTTAAAAATCTTATAAAATCCTTGTTATTTTAAATTTTCCGTAGTTTTTGAAAGAAAATGCCAATATTAAATTTATGAAAAATCTACAGAGAATCATTTCCCGCCAAAATTTCAATGGTTATATCTCGAAAACAAGCACACAGACCCTTCATTTTTTCTGCTTTTTTAGTTCCTTTATTTATACAATATCAATTTATAACAGTCTTTTAAAAAGCTTGTTATTTTGAAACAGAGTAGCGAACATCCTTTAAGTCGATATCACGACTGAGTTAACGTTACAACGACTTAGCTAACTCGTTTATAATGACTTAGCTTAGCCTTTAACACAAGTAGCTAACTCACGACTTGCTAACCCGTTATAACACATTTGCATTGATGAGTAGTTTTATTGCAAACAACAAAATAATTACTATATTCGGTCGTCAAAATATCCTATCAATGAGATAAGTCAAAGTGGTGTTTCCTTTGTTTGTCGTTAACTTGCTGGTAGGCTTTTGATTGCCTGATGTCAAAATCAAACACATAGAATTTACCGATGTACTGGATATAAAACATCTTACATGACGACCATTTCATATTCTGGGAAAGGGGAAGGTGAGGTGCAGGAGGATCAGTTGAAAATGAAACATTCTGACCTGGTAAGAACTGAAATTAAATATCCTTCTCGAAAGCAGAATTTTACCCAGCAAAATGCAGGATGTAGATAAAAAAAGTGAAAATTAGTATGGTTGTTCTCTTACTATTTTGAAGGGGACAATTTAACTTTTATATTCATATTTATGCCCACCATAGGAAGCTCAATCCTGCCAACCATGGAAAGCCAACTCCTTCCAATTAGAATTTAACCATAAATTTATTAAAAAAACGGAATTGAATTTGTTCATGATTTGTACGGACACGTTTAATGATGGAAGAAAAGAAATTGCATTTCAAACCCCCAGGGTTAGCACAATGGACAATTAAGAAGTTGTGTCCGCTCCCACTGTAAATAAACTGGACCCCTGTTGTGTTCACTTATCGCTACACTAACTTCGGAGCGGAGATTTAGATGGAATGGTGGACCAGTTTACCACTGTAAACAGGTGGACATGACGTCATCCACTTGAGTTAAGTGTAGATAGTTTGTTATCCCCTATCTGTTATTATTAAGTATTCATTAGCAATGTGCTATTAAATCATTAATACCTTTGTGGATATTTGTTTTACAAAATCGATTAAAATGCCAGTTGCAAATCACGTTTTATAACCGATTGTTTAAACAGACGAACATGAAACTATATATATATGTTGTAACGTCTGCATGTTAACCAAGAAAAATTGATAAAATGATCAAAATGATTATACATTTGTAGAGTTAATTGACGAAATTAACGGTTAATGTCCGAACAATTACATATTGATGAAGATAGCATGACGATGAACAATAGTAAGAAGCCTATGCTCAATTAGTAAAAAATTATCTCGAATTATAAATAATATGGATAACAGGAAGTTTACGTATAGGACGGAAACCGGAAGCGGATGTCACGGCTTTGTTCGACGGGTGGGGTTATTTTCAGCATCTGATTCATAAAAATTAATTATGTTGTTGAACTGCGCCTACGTATTTTTGGAAAGAAAAAATGCAGACATTGCTTTCGATTAAATATAGTCATCACTTTTAAAAATACTATCATTTTCAAAATTGGCCATCATTATAATGCACAGTAATAGTGGGTTTTAGTGAGTCGAAACCTGCTTATTTCGTCTTCCAATAAACACCCGACGACAATCAGTTATTTCTCTTGAGTGATGGATGGATTGGTGTCCAAACTCATGTGGAAAATGTTACGTGCACATCAGGTCAACAACATGTGAATGTGAACCTAGCATTAAACAAGACCGACACACTGAGTCAGACTTTTTACGTGCTAATTCACAGAGTAAAAGTTCGCAAGAAGACAAGTAACCTTCCGCAGGAACATAAATGTTTATCAGACTGCGAGCAGACCAACTGCTCTGAATTTTATGACACGTGCTTAGCAGAGAGGCAGCAAATCTTTGGTTAAACCCGGCCGGGGATCGAACATATGTCCTCTAATAATCAAGGCAAGCATGCTACCACTACACCACATGCTTTTCTAAGAATTGGTTAAACATATAAGTTATAAATAGGTTTATTTTTACTTACAACAGTTAGCTCCCCTTCAAGACATAGTGTTGACTAAGGTTAAAGTGAGATTAGTGTCACTTAAGCGGATCAGACTAGACTGAGAGTTAAAGATTTTTCTGGTCAAAATATAATATGATACATGTAGTTAAACATACATTTAATTAAAAGACCGTCATAATGAAGTAATTAATAAAAACATACGATTGATGTGCTATTAGATATAGGAAGATGTGGTATGAGTGCCAATGAGACAACTCTCCATCCAAGTTACAATTTATAAAAGTAAACCATTATAGGTCAAGGTACGGCCTTCAACACGGAGCATTGGCTCACACCGAACAGCAAGCTATAAAGGGCCCCAAAAAATTACTAGTGTAAAACCATTTATCCCCGGCTTAGTATATTTCTAGGAGTTTGATTGGTTAACGCACGTCGTTACAAAACCCATAGCCCCTGGGTGTTGCTAACCCATATCCCCGGACGTTGCTACCCATTACATCGGGGAATTTCACGCGCGTTTTCCTTAATTCCATGGTTGTTCCTTATGAAATATCGAATTCTGTAGATTTTCCATGATGTCTGTATAATTAAATACTTAATCCACTAACGATTTTATCTTATTACCTTGCACTCATTTTAGTAAATGCATCACTATGCAGCCACATTGTCAATGAATGGTACTACTGACCTAGCTATGCAAATGACCCACGTTGACGTCACACCCTTTATGATGTAACTCTCACAACATTGCGCGCCAAATTCGACCCATTTCAGTTTCTCTGTCTCTACTTTAAAAACGTCTTATATTTGTCTACCTGTAGGGTTCTACCAAAGGTAGAACCCTACACCCCGTTAAAAATATGTCAAATTCCCAAATTTCAATAAAAGATATTTAAAAAATGAAAAAAACGTTGCTTTCACGTTTCACTTTGTGGTCGAATTTCTCTAAAAATCGCCAGATTTAGACTAAAACCGGGGATAAATTCGTTATCTACGTTCATATCCGTAGAAATGGATATTTTAACACCCTTCAGTACCCTGTACACCTTTCGGCTGCGCCTCAGGGTGTACTTGGATACTTCAGGGTGTTAAAATGTCCATATCTACGGATATGAACGTAGATAACTTATAATATAAAAACGAGAAACGAGAAACACGTATGAACTACATAAACAGACGACAACTACTGTAATAAGATTCCTGACTTAGGACAGGTGCAAACATTTGCAGCGGGATTAAACGTTTTAATGTTGTCTGTTGACACAGATACACTAGATAACCATCACACACCACGTACTTGATGGGTACCAGTGTGTTTCGAAGACCATGATAAAAACTGTTGATCTTTTTTCGATTTCTTATTTCAGTGGTTTATATTTTTATTGTTTAATTTTGTCTATATTCTTTCTATGAAAATAAGCACTTTCAGATATATGTAAATTGAAGAAAAAAACAAAAAGCATAAAACATTTCATTTCAATATCTTTAAATACAAATTGTCTTAAATAAATTTCGAACTTCTTACACTCGCTGATCTCATGTATACATACATGCTTCATTAAATAATTGAATACGCAGTCTTGTTTGATAGTTTCAATTAAGAATTTGATGCCTGGAAAAACAAAGCAATTGATGGAGAATTATGCCGCCATTCTCCATTAAACACGTCGTGTCAAATAACAGTGTGGAATTTAATCCAAACGACATTTTAGATGAGAAGCTTTTTACTGAAAATGCTATGAGTAGTTTATGATATAAAGTGAATTGCGGAATAATATGATACTGATTTTTTTTATAATACACTACATAATTGTGCAATTAGAAAAAAATATTTCTCATCAATGATAAGTTATCGAAGTACAATTCCTGCATACATGCTTTATTGTTATGCGTTTACTTTTCTACATTGGCTAGAGGTATAGGGGGAGGGTTGAGATCTCATAAACATATTTAACCCCGCCGCATTTTTGCGCCTGTCTCAAGTCAGGAGCCTCTAGCCTTTGTTAGTCTTGTATTATTTTTAATTTTAGTTTCTTGTGTACAATTTGGAGTTTAGTATGGCGTTCATTATCACTGAACTAGTATATATATTTGTTTAGGGGCCAGCTGAAGGACGCCTCCGGGTGCGGGAATTTCTCGCTGCATTGAAGACCTGTTGGTGACCTTCTGCTGTTGTCTGTTCTATGGTCGGGTTGTTGTCTCTTTGACACATTCCCCATTTCCATTCTCAATTTTATTTGCTATCTAGACGAAGCATGGTCGCAGAGTATATGCAATTTGCAATCAAACTGAAGACAAAGGTAAACAAAATGATAAGAAATAGTACATGTCTCATTTTGGACGGTTTGAACTGAACCTACAAAACCTTACGTTCTACAATGAATAAATGAATGAATTTTAGTTTTGAAAAAAAACCAAACTCAAATACAGAAAACGTGTCTAAAATAGAACGAAACACTTCCTTGTACAACTGGTTAAATGTTTATTTTACATAAAAACACCGACAAGAATAGTTTAAAAATGTAAGAAAAAAACAAACTAACCTTTTATTGGTAACAAAATGTCCTTGAAATGAATTGTCACATTTGGATAATGTTAGTTCCGTTTTAAAAGTATCGTATTTTCTTGCAGTTGTTTAGTATGTATCTAGCCTGAATTCACCTGTCTATCTTTGAATTAACAATAAATCTCCAAATCGATATTTATGTTCCTTTAATTACCATCCAACTTTAATGAAAAATACTGTAATAGAACTAAGAATCCATGCTAATTGAAAATAAAGACGAAACGAACTTAAAATTGTCCCAACTATTAATCAATAATTATTGATTGAGCATTGTTGTGTCGATGACGGTTTAAAACGATCAATTATTATATTATTTAAATGGTTATATACTTAAATCGCACACATAACAAAGGTGTCATAAGAATTGGAGAGTGTGATTTAATTAACCGTCATTAGTATTATCCGACTAAAACTTGAAAATCTATATTTCAATATGGATTATTCTTAAAATAATTTTATATAAGATTTGATTTAGTTTAACTATCCTAGTAATCTTATTTTGTCCTTCTACTTATTGTGTAATTACAACAATAATCTAGAGGTTAAAAAGTGACCATACAAGCAGTTTAAATTTACCATTGAAAGTTGATTGAGACATGCAAGATAACTGAGAACATCCTGGTGCCAATTACGGATTTACGGGGTGGTACGGAGGACGTACGCTCTCCCAATTTGAAAGGAAAATATAAGATTTAAGGGGGCAAATTTGCTAATACCATTTTAATCAGATGATGCAATTTCGGTGTAATATTTATACGGACTATGTTTGTTTTGAAGACCTTGTAAATGTCTTTGATTATATCTATTTGCTGTTCTTAATCCCCACCTTCGACAGGAAACTGTCAATCTTACTTCTCACTATACCTTTTAAACATTTTAATATTCTAACACATCTGCCACAGGGTTCGAACTCACAACCGCAGAGTTGACAGGCTAGTGCTACAGTACATACACTACTTAGACCACTCAGTCACCTAGTCCCCGATCCCTAATACAAATCGTCCATGGATATGAATAAAATGAGGCGTTGGGTTCATTGCATGTCAACGAGAAAGCAAGCAAAAACTAAAAACTAATGACTCAAAGAGGTCAAGGAGAGGTCTATTCAATATTTCAAACTTTGAACCTAGGCTAGAAAAGTTCATTGGTTTTGGAGTTAAATGTTTAATTTCCGATTAACTTCTTCCATATGTACTAATGGAATAAATGGATAATTACTGTCATATATCTATATTCCCGATCTAACCCATGCACTTTTATAACCCGAATAATTCAGTCCCTCCCCGTAATCGATCTCCCCTACTTGCGAGTAATCGTAGATCAGCGGAATATAACGACTGCATTATTTGGGTTAACACTTTTAGAGGATTCAGAGTATTCAAAACTCAAGAGGGATTTGACCTTGGCATATGCTATAGACACTCGAGATATTAATTTTCAAAAAATCATTTGTTGACCTCTTCGTCTTTTTTGTGTTCTTTGGTTTCACTATCATTGACGTATATCCCCAAATACAACAGGGTCTGGATGAGATTTACAGAAAAGAGAATAATGAGGGGAAAAGTGCGAAATAAAGGGAGAAAAAATAAGGAATAGAGAAAAATAGGAGAAAATAAAGAATTGGGAATAATGGGATGCTAAGATATAAAGAATAGAGATAAATGGTCTAAAAAAGAATACAGAAGTGAAGCCCCCCCCCCCCCCCCCCCCCCCCCCCCCCCCCCCCCACCCGGCCGTCATACACCACTGCTATTATAGTAGTTCGCATAATGGTTTTGCTTTGTACAATGTATACCCTTTCTACGTTTGTTATATCTAAGAGTTTTATTAAAGTTTGCATTGCGTGACTTGAAGCAAACAAGACGAAATTAAACAATTTCACATCATTCTTTATTCAGTTTTATTAGCTACCGTTGAACTGTATACTCTTAAGTATCATGTAACACGTTGCATACAGGGCTTTAATTTAACACCATGTTGTAAATCAATTTTGACAATAACAAAAAACGGGAGAAAAATCATATTTCAAAACTGATAGATTGATTCATAGATAGTAATTATGCTTATTATAAAGTGGCCAATAGTTCATGTTTAGTCTGGGCGAGAACTAATTTCAAAGTTAATCATTTAGTTTGGTTATAAAAAGTAGGTGAGCCGGCGATACATTGTAAAAAAAATGCTCTTTCGTTGAAAAAAAAGGTACGTTGATTAAGGATAGAAAAGGTGTCTGGTAATTGGATACTTCCCTATACACCATAAGCATTGTTTAAGAATCCTTTAACGATCCTTTAACATTAGAGAGGGTCTGAATGGGGTTTACAGAATAGAGAAAAATGGACCAAAAAATAAAGAATAGAGAAAAATAGGCAAAACATATAAAGAATAGAGAAAAAATGGCTAAGAAATTTAAAAAGTACAGAATTGAAGGACCCCCATCCATACCTGAGAGCCTGGTATTTCACTAGCACATCAGATGCCGTGTTACAACAAGTCATGCATACACACGTGACTCTAACAATCAGTTCAACTTGGTGAAGTCAAAGAATAGGCTTATTTAAAAAATAAGAAGATGTGGTATGATTGTCAATGAGACAACTCTCCACCAGAGAACTAATGACGTAGGAGTTAATAACTATAGGTCATCGTATGGCCTTCAACAATGAGCAAAACACATACCGAAAAGTAAGCTATAAATGACCCGAAATGACAACTGTAAAACAATTCAAACGAGAATACTAACGACCTGATTTATGTTAAAAAAAATAAACGAAAAACAAATATGATATACAGCAACAAACGACAACTACGGAATTACAGGCTCATGACTTCGGACAGACACACAGACACGTAAATTACGCAGGCTAAGCTCACTCCCTCTGCCACGTGTTTCCATGAATCCTCTATTGGAATTTCGATTACTATCATGATAACAAAGACTTGTTAATATTCCGTTGATTATGATTATTTGAGTTTATATGCCATAATATTATTAATCGAATAGTTTTAAGGATTTATGATTCGTTAAAATTTGATCACATGTACATTTGTATTTAATCAGTTTGCACGCCAATACTATTGTGTTTAGCTTTTCGTGGGTCAAAAACAGCATATTGCACAGGGCATATATACAGCATGTTACTAAAATAAATTCTAGAAATCCACAATTTTACATTGATGATGATTAATAATATAACAATTGTAGCCTTTGGTTGAGGTCAATACGATGTTATATCGACCTAGAGAAGCTTATCGACCTCGGACTTCGTCCTCAGTCAATATACTTCTCCTAGGTCGATATAGCCTTGTACAAAGGCTATAATTGTATAATATTTCACGATTATTTATCAGACACTTTCGATTATCTTTATCTATTATTTAACAGTAGAATGCTTTGATGGTTTGACAACCAGCTTACATTATAAACTAAGTTACTTATTTTACGCTTATCAAGTTTGAAAAATATTATAGGTTATTTGTGTAGATATACGAAGGACAGCAGATAAAATCACGCAAACATGATCATGAATTGTTGAATACTTTCAACCAGATCATTATTTCCTTGTCCTCAACTGTTTAAAAAAAATATCACATGGACGTTAAATCGTCAAAATTTTCGCCTAAGTTTTTGACCTACACGCACAAGATTAATATTTTCTGTTATGTTTTACCAAATAGATTATAATAATAGTTGAATAATAATGTTGAGTAACCGTAAGGTCAACAGGCGGCCAGCGAAAACCCTAATACATTTTATTTATTTTCATTTACTTGAACCTTTTATTTATTTAAAATCTTAGAGGTCATGAACATCTACTATACTTTATTTATGAATCGATAAAATGAAATAGACTTGTTTGTATAACACAGCTAGTTAAAGAAGTGTATTGAGAGTTCATTTAAAAATACAAATAAAAATCTGCACCCCAATGGTTCAACTTGACTCGGACAATGGTCAGTTGACTTTTTGTCCGCTGTTAGACTCCTGCTGAAGAGGTCAGTTTTGCTTTGTGATATTTTTTATATACGCAGTCATGTCAGGTTTTAGAGGGAAAATAATAATCAGACGCCTCATGCTGGGACTGTGTTATGCTGGCGGTCTCTGTGTGGTGCCGAAGTTGGCCTGTTACATGTACATGTACAATGCTAAATTTCTGATCGTTACTAACGAGCCCTCTTTTTTTAGTGACAGGTCAAATTTACCACACTCCAAATCGGTCTACCAACTTTACAAAAATTAATTGTATGATACATTGGTCAATTTGTTCTCGTTCCGAATATGCATGAAATATTTGCCACTGGACGTTATGCAAATAACATTTCTTGTGGTTTCATTATCACGGCAAATCTGAAATAGATTCCATTGTCCGCGTAAAGTAATAAGAATTATTTCAAATGAAATCGAATTCCACAGAAAACAACTGTCAAGCTAAAATTATTGACAATGGAAGCTTATCCAATACTGTCTTGGGACCAAGCGGCAAAAAATAATGAAAAAGTACTGATTTGTAAATCAGAGATCTTTTAAAGCGCGATGTAGAACCATTCAGATCATTTTCCTTCGTATTACTCTTCACTTTAGCCTAATTATCAACAGTAAATCTCTGATTGTTAGTATTCAAGTTATCAAGTCTCGTACACATGCATATATATACTGAACATAGTATATGGATAGCGCACAGATAAAACAATTGAAATCTATTTGATTTTTTTAAACAGCTCATGTAAAGTTGCACGAATACTGTTTAATCGGATGTCAAGATAATATATGCTACACAAATTAAGTGCGATCAAATCATTAGATAGTGACGCTTCTGTGCAATATTTAGCGTTTTCGTTCGCCATGCTTCATTTCCATCGAAGAACATTGACTTTCAAGATGGTATTTTCAGAGAAAGTAATCTCATCGCTCTTTATTCTATTTCATCTTAATGATACTTTTATTTTATTGAAAAGAGTTGAAACTATCAGATATTAAACATATATACTGTGAAAAAAATGAGGCAATATATATTTCAACTAAAGAAAAATTAAAAATGCAGAGTTCCAATATTGTAGAAATGTATTTCAAATAATTTTGTTGTCTTATTGTTTTGTTCAGAATTATTCATTTTTGTTGAAATATGAAATTAAAAATATTTATTTGCTAATCTTATTTTCTCGGTATATTTTCATTACATAAAAGGGCAAATACCATTGTTTTTATACTGATCGACTTGTGCTGCGGCTAATATTAGACGAAAAATGTGACAGCATTGAGTTGACATTAACAGCGAGATGTTCATGGTTTGTTTAAAAAAACTAGGATGAGTTTAAAAGCGTTTTTGCTAACTGTAAATTATATTTACAGTAAATTTTAGGAGTTGTAAGTGATATTGCAATGCAGGGGCGTAAACATATTCACGTCGCGCGTGA